TAAGAAGTTGTGTTCTAGATAGCTCATAAATTCCCTTCTCCTGCTGCATCTAGGCCACACACTTTTACCTAGAACTCTGTTTCCAAAATTATTACATTGTTCATTTTGCTACATTAATTTATCATCCAATGCTGGGCATAATACAAAGTTTTTCTCTGGCATAGCCTCTTCCTATCACCCCTTTCTGCTACTATGAACTATATATGTGTATGTAATCTTTCCTTTTTCAGCTACACAACACTCAGCTGTGTGAGGAGCCTCTACTGCACAACCACACCCTGCTCTTTCTCATTAGCCGTTACAAATTACTGAAACTGCCTGTCAGAATACCATCATGATACTATTTCTTCTTATAAATCTATCTTGAAACTCTTTTTTCAAACTTTCAAGGACGCCTTTCATATAACCTGCTCTCCTGAATGAAGCCAAAATATACAAAGCTCAACAAGATGTATATTTTTCCTGTGTTTATTTTAACCTTCATCCTCCTTCTAAGTTTCTGCACATACGCCCCTCAGTATTTTAAATTATAGTCTTCTTAGGGCAAAAACCTATTGCTGTGTTAACTGTGCTAAAATTAACAAAACAGCATGTGGCATGGCATGACCTACTGCATAGTATGGCACATTACAGAAATTTATAAGTCAAAAAGGGCTTTTACTGAAAAGCAAAATTAGGGACTAATAAAGGGAAGAAAAAATATAACAAATTAATCACAGCAAATGTCATTGATCTTGATTATAAGCAAAAGACGGGGATGACAAGGTTAACTAAATAATTACAAAGGAAAGATGGAGTTTAATGAAAGATCTGAACAAGGAACATAAAAGTGAGGTAAAACACTACACATATTCCAGAAATGTATATTTACTAACAAGAACAAAAGCAAAAGAAATAAAAGGTTCTGATTAATGGACAGCATAAAGGACAAGGTCGCAGCTCACAATTGCCCTGCAAAGTATGCAAGTATTGTACCCTCCATACAGAAAAACTGTCAAAAATTGACCAGAGCTATTTCTTGAAGTTGGCCAAGATCAAACACCATGCCTCATATTCTTTTCATATGATTTCACTAAAAATATATGAATTATAAAATGACCTGCACAATAGTTTCACACAAGCCAGGCCAGTAGCCAGGATTTCGATTTGGGGGGGGGGGGGCTGAGTTTGTTTCGGGGGGGCTGAGTCTGAGTGAAAGAGGGTCTACCCTAGCAAACCTTTTGTATCGTTACCCCAATACCCCCATGCATATGGGATATATTGAGTATGGTGATCAGATCATGATATGAATAAACATAACAGTTTAAATAATGTACCAGTAAGGCCTTCTGGCAGACCACCATGAGAATTTGGGGGGGGGGTCTGAACCCCCCCCCCCCCCGCTACATGCCTGACACAAGCATTTTCTATACAAACTGACACTCACTACTTATTTTAAAGCAGCCACAACCAGATTTGTATTCTCAAGTTTTGGACAGGTCACAGCTAATGGCAAATCATATGTTTTCCATGCATAAAACCCCAGGTTCAAGTCCTGATATCCCTACACAGGGTTGAGAAAAATCTAGAGCAGAGCCTTCTAAATGTTTAATGTTGGTAACACACGTGCATCATTTCGCAATAGAGTAATTCAGTTTCACTATCAAACCAGTGGTTAAACCAACCCCTTATAAGAATACATACATACATTATAATAAGGAAATGTATAAGGTCATAACATATCACATGAAAACCTTACATTTATATTTTTCAAAATATATTATTATTTCACATAGACTAAGAGGTTTCTTGTTGTCGTGATGAAGATTAAGTGTAGACACACACAGATGCAGAAACCTTCTCCCTCCAACCAAGGAGCAAACTCACACGTTTGTCTTGTAGCAGAATTTATACAAAAACATATATACAGAGTCCAATTCTTCTCCTCAAGCCACAAGCCTCTCAGAACTCCAAGACCTTCACAAAAACCTCCAACCTTCCAACACCTCCCAATCCTTCCAACACCATCAAACTCCTCCCAAAACCACCACCAGGAGTAAAAGACTCTAACACTTGTTAAGTTTGTGTGACACTATTTTTGTAGCCGACACACTATGTTATGACACAAAGTTTGGAAAACTCTGCTCTAAAGAATCTCTGCCAAACCATTTGTCTTACTTAATAAAACTTAGATTCATATGCTTTGATAATTATCCATGTTAGCCTGTGGTAACGGCACATATAACTGGTCCTTCAGCCTTTAAATACTAACCATTTGCAAGATTATCAAATTAGTATTCAGCACTAAATGAGTCCAGATTTAGTGCTCAAAAATAGTACTCTACATCTGATGAAGCAGCATCTTGCACAAAATTGCACAAAATTGGTTTGTATTCAAAACATTATACTCAAATAGTTTGAAGTCAAAATGTTTTAACTTCAAATATGTGCTTAGTGTAAATAGAGGTCCTTCTGATTAAATTCTAGTTTCACAGATTTTACTGCTTGTAATTTCTTTTTACGCTTAGTAGTCCCCCAATAACAGCGCTCCATGCAGTCATGCCGGCCACATGACCTTAGAGCTGTCTACGGGCAATGCCAGCTCTTCGGCTTAGAAATGGAGATGAGCACCACACACCCCAGTTAGACACGACTGGACTAAATGTCAGGGGAAAACCTTTACATTTACCTTTAGTCCCCCAATATGTATAATGAAAATACTGAAATAATACAATCACTGGTGAGCCAGAATAACATCAGTAATTACTGAAGCATTTGTAACATCAGCTACTGTTTACACAAGCTGCTTCGTTTAATGAATGCAGCAAGAAATTAGTATTATAATTTTATTAAAGAATTATTTTTATAAATTCAGAAAAGCAGTACATGAATGAATCTACAATATGTTTAGCATACTTGAAATATATTAAACCTTTTTTCAAAAAGAGTACAACTGTCAAACGGAGGTGTCAACATATTTGTCCAATCCTTGGTGACCAGAAAAAAAAGTGTGATATATCTATGGAAGCCTTATGCTGCCAATTTCATTCTCACAATTAGCCTCTAAGGTGCTACAAGACCTTTTGCATAATGATATTCTAGACTAACACAACTATATCTTTGAAATATGATGCCATAGTTGTTGTCACTGTTGTTGTAATCATTTCAGTGGGCCCTTGTTTTCTGCTGAGATTTGGTTCCAGCACACCCCCACCTCCATCCCCTATGAATATCAAAATCAGTGGATGCTCAAGTCCCATTATATATAATGGAATAGTAAAACAGTGTCTCTTATATAAAATGACAAATTAATGTTTGCTTTTTGAATTTAAAAAAGTCCAATCTGTGGACAGTGGAATCCGTGGATGCAGAATCTCTGGTATAAATGACTGCCTGTATATTTATTTATTTATTTATTTATTTATTTATCTACTTCCTTTTTCCCCAGTCTCTTGATTCAAGGTGGCTTATTAAAACTAGAACAGGTACAGATAAACATTTACAATATAAAAATAAAATATTAACAATCAATCCTGTTCCACAAGGAAGGGAATGTTCTTGAGATGGATACTACACCAAGCTGTGGAGATAACTGTGGAACTTTCAGTCTCCTTCTCAAAAATGTGTAGTAAGTAGAGAAAATCTACTCCAACAAAACTTAAACATCTTACTGTTTTCTGTCCCTTTCCAAAGTCAACAATAGATCTGGTAAATTCTCCTACCCTTCATCATGATTAGAAGGGCAAAAAAATCACACACATTTTTTCAATGTCCTTGCAACTGATAAGCATCTTTTGTAGATCCAACCTAAACAAAATCCAACAATACTACAAGCTACATACAGCTAAATTCTTGATTTCTCAGGAGCCACAAGGGTTCCTCTACTATTCACAGTGAGCTGGGCACATAGTTTTACTTTAGTGCCAAACATCTGGCCTCTAGATATGGCATCACACAACATGTAATTTGTATTCCAGTAAACTCTACCAATGATTCTACAAATTAAAAGATCTCATATACTGGTTCTCAGAGTAAAGGACAAGGCCTACAATTCTATCACGTTCTTTCATTTGTTTTTGATTGTTTTTTTATTCACAATATCTGAGATCTCCACACTGCAACCTGAATATCCAATAAAACATTGTGTATAAGACATAATGAGAGTTTGTAAAATGAACCATCATCTTGCCAGCACAGGAATAGAGATTTTGTCAAAATGTAGTCTGCTGAAAACTCATCTTTTGTACACTGTATGATAAATATTTTTCTCTAAAAGGATCACACGTTATAGTAGGAAGGGATTACATATATGTTTGCAAAGATAACATAGTATTTATGATACAAAAGCATTACAGCTAAAAATTAAAGAATCCTTAGCTCCTTTGCAGCCTAGTTCTATGCATGTTTACTCAGTGTAAGTCACATTGAGTTCAGAAGGCCTTTACACTAAAATTAGTATGCATAGGTTTGCACTCTCACCCACATAAATCTGCATTCTTAATGTGGCATTAATCATTTAGGCTTTGGAATAAATAAAGTTTGTGTGGTTGTCTAACAGTCACATACGCAATTATCTCCTCTTCTCCTCTAGTTTAGTCTAGCTGGAAAATGTCTTCATAGTTAAGAGCTGATAAAGTTACCATGGTGGCATGAACAGCAAGAGAAGCGACTCCGACTATTCTTTCACCATTATGAAGACAGGTCTAATCATTATGAGGCTATATTTGTTAAGCAGACCAATCTACTTGTTGCTTGCAATTTAAATACATACAATTTTAATCCAGAGAATGCCAGAAAACAGCAAGTTATTTACATACATTTAGAGTATACATTTAGAGTATACATTCAGTGTAGAAGTTTGAACTTCATACAGACTGAAATAGAAGAGGGGAGGGGATCACCATATTATTTGGTGGGAAAAATACCCTACCCCAACCTGCAGCAAACCTTTACATTTCATCTTTATTTTCAGAACACAGGCGATTGTGTTACATCAATATACTCTCTTCTTCCACACTTACCACTGGATCTGTTTTTGCGGTTTGATTTTCCTCCTGTAAGAAGCATCTTGAGACTGTTCCGGAACATGGCTATTCTGGTCTAATCAGCAAGCCCCGAAAGCTGTATAAATATAAAAAATAAAAATATCCATTAACTAATTTTTAGTCATTAACAGTGGAGAATAATGAAGAGGCACAAGCAATCCTTAGAATTGCTCTTTGCATTCATAATGTAACAACCTAATCAAGCTTTTGTAGGAAACCAAATGCTTGAGGGGAAATCATAATTCATAAATTAAAGTAAAGTAGTGTGGTACTGCACATTTTCTATTCTTCCGAAGATTGTGATCAGCACATCTTTCAGGATTTTGTTCCGTCATATTTAATATTTTTTGGAACTAAATGCTGCCATGATTAGGTTCTGCAAATTACAAAACTGGCAATGTAACCACTAAGTTGGTGCATTGTAGAATTTAATGGGGTGTCTTGGAATCCTTTGTAAATACATATCACCTCTAAATATCTTGAGTCTATTCTACAAGTGCATCTCAGAGTATCTTTCTCACTTGACCTGTTTCCTGTTTATATCAGTTTGGTGCTCCTGGTTACCTTTGAAAATTCCTGATTATTGCATTTATCACCCACCTATAACCAACAGCAATGGCACACTCATGCACGCACACACATGAAAAGCATCAGAAATTGGAAAAGCCAAATCAGGTGGAATACATGGAGGATCTCATGGGGCACATAAGAGTTACTTGGAAGCTATATGTGGTCTGTACATTTCCCATAAATGCCCTAAAGAACAAAGTGGCCCCTTCTCATTCATTTTCTTCTTATCACCTCAAAGAAGACAGATTCTGCATGAAAAGAGAACAAATTGTTTGGCTACACAGATAAGTAAAAGAATGCCAGTATATGTAACCATTATGTCTTTTTCATTATGGTCTTTCTGCAGTCCACATAGAATAGACCAGCATGCTGATGTATCTGGAAGACAATACTCTGTCCTTGGGGAAACAATGTGAATAGTTCTGCCAAACCTAAGCTAGATCATCTGACTCTGAAGAAAGGAAAGTGCTCAATCTAAAATTGTAAAGATTGGGGGGGGGGGGGGGACAGAAATTCAAGAAGCACATGGTGGGAGAGGGGGACAATCTTTGCTTTTTGACAGGTTTTCCAAGCAAAACAGTAGAAATTTGAGAACATACTGAGGGGAAATCTTCAATGAAATCTGCTCACTTCTTAAATAGAAAAATAGCTAAATATGCCAGCATAAAAAAGACATTTCTTATCACAAGGCACATCTAGCAGAAATATATGAAATGAAATATATGTATTTCACATTTAATAATAAAAGAGAGTCACAACATTACCTATGTCTAGGTTTATATACAAACCTACCAGTCCCACAAGTCTACATGGGTACTTCTAAAAGAGCACTATACTGTCATTATCTGCTGCTGATTTATCAACTGTCTATAGGTCACACCAGTTGCACAAAATCGAATGATCTTATCTAAAATTTGTACATTCTGGTCAGAGAGTAGAAAAGATAGATAGATCTCATCTCTTGCAGTGATTATTATTTGTGTGGTTAAAGCAAGATATTTCCCTTGTTTATTAAAAGAGGCAGTATAAAATGCTATCACTGAGTTTCCACCATTTCATTTGCTCAGAGATAAATTTGCTCACCATGTGGGAGATGGAATGGTTGCGTACCTGTAACAGTATTTCTCCGAGTGGTCACATGTGAAATTCTCACATATTGTAGCTTTTCTTGCGCTTGCACAGTATCTGAAATGCTTTTAAAGACTATAGCCCCACCCACCCTCCCAGAATGCATATAGGCTGTGGGAGAGGCCGCAGCCTCAGTCCTTTAGTCGCCAGACAGCAGGTGAAAGAAACCGAGAAATGACAAATAGTGAGTGGGGAGGATGGGTGGGGCTATGCAAATTTCATGGGTGACCACTTGAAGAAACATGTTTAGAGGTAAGCAACCATTCCTTCTTCGTAGTCCCTATGAAATGTGCACATATGGTAGATTAGCAAGCTACTTACCAGGGTAGGCAGGTGTCATGCCACCAAGGAAAACAGCACTGTTCTACCGAAGGCTGCAACCTTCCTGGAAGCAGTGTCAACCTCCGCTGACGTAACAAACATCAGCGGAGTAGACCAGATGGCAGACGTCCTGCAGTGGTACACCTCTCATGAATGCTGCTGAGATCGCCACTACTCTAGTAGAATGGCCTCTGTTTTGAGGCAACTTCTGATGTTCCATCTTATAGGCAAGTTTGATTGCCATTACTATTCAAAAAGAAAAAAAACAGAGTGGATACAGGAAAGTGATTTCCTTAAGTCTGCTGACTTTAAACATAAATTGCAAGGCCCTCCTAACATCAAAGAGATGTAGAGAATGCTCAGGGGTGTGCCAGGATTCTGAAAGAAAGATGGTAAAACTATCTCTTGTGTTATATGAAATTTCAATGCCACTTTAGGCAGGAAAGCGATATCTGTATAGAGTTCCACTTGGTCTTTGTGAAAAAAAGTCCACTGGATTTAGACTAGATCTAGACTAGATGTAGACTAGACTATGACTTTGGATAACGTGGTTAACAGTGAAGGCATTGTTTTATATGTTTAAATGTTTAAATATATTTGATAATTCTATTTAAATGTTTATTTTAATTAAACATTGTTTTGGAAGGCATCAAATAGTTGCCTAAGAGTAAGCCGCCTCGAGTCCCCTCCCCTTACTCCTCCACTGTAAGCGGCTAAGTAGCTGGAGTAGAATCAGGCACATCTACACCAGTAGCTGAAGACTCAGAACCAGAATCCGATGCCTCTCTCACAGGAGTAAGTGGGGCAGGCCCAGGGAAGGGCGGCAGTGTTAAAAGTGACTGTGTGAATGTTTGCTGCATCCGCTTAGGTGGCAATACTGGCACTGGCTGCACCTGATAGTGCCCATAAAGAGGCACAGGTGGTGGCCCAAAATAGTAAGAGTGCCCTCTTGGAGAAGTATGGTAATAGCCATGGCCAAGGTAATATGGAGTGGGTGACTGCCTGTCTTTTGGGTGACACAGCCTGCCCAAAAGAGCCCCTAAAGAGGCTGCTTGCCCACGATGACCAGGAATAAGCATCTGGTGCCAAAGTTCTGAGTCTAAGCCCCTCATCATCATGTGCCATGCGCAACAGATGCTTGGGGGTAGATTGGGATCAATCCCCTCTTGCGTCATGCCTTTGCAATGGCACCATAGGTGTAAGGTCCAAAGGCAGCACAGTAGTTCAGCTGGCAGTGCGTCTTCAAAGTCCTGTTCACAGCTCTAGAATGGCACTAAGGATAAGGCAGACATTGGCCATGCTGACTCCAGTGGGGGCTGGGTCGCCGTTGGGGGGACAAACACTCCAGCATTTGGTAAAGAATGCAGTATGTTGGCAGCCCTAGAGGGGCACGTGCTCGCTTCCCCCATCGATGGAAGGGACACAGTAGAAGTCCACTGTTGCCCTGGTGACAGCAGCAGCTGTGCCGAGACGGGGCTGAGTTAGCCTGCACAGAAAGGGTGGCATTGCCCTTCTTTGCTTGAATAGGTTGGAATGGTCTCACTTATTTGGGTTCTTAGATGGAATTGACTTCTTCAAACAGCAATGTATAGCCTCCAAAGCCAAAGAACAGAAGAGATTTCTCACCAATTCAATTTCAAAGGCCATCCCAAGGGACTATGGAGAAGCAAGACACTATGAGGCAAGGATGGATGGGTTCTGTGAAATTACAGGTGGCCACTGGAAGAACCACTGTTCCAGATATACATCTACTTTTTCTTTGTGGTCTCTGTGACTTAACACAAATGAGAGACTAGCAAGCTACTAGCCACAGGACGAAGGACTATCATGTCACACTTGGAAAACCACAGCCCTCCCAAATGCAATAGCTGCCTGACTGTTGTGTCCAGTCTATACTGAAAAATGGACACTGACAGCTGTGACCATGCAGCAACCCTACAGATGTCATACAGAAGAATACCTCTCGGTAAAGCCCAGAAACATGAGTTCTCACTTGGGACAGGAGATTGCTTGCCAGCAAGTTCATAGACCAAAACAACAGCTACCATGATCCACTTAGAGAGCCTCCACAATGACACAGGAAGTCCTTATGTTGGTGGATGCTATTTCAGAAAGGATGTTATATGGTTGACATAGAATGTCAGAGCTCTATAGACTTCTGACAATGTTGAGTGTTATGTTTTTCCTCAATTCTTCCTCATTATACAGGTGATCATCAAGATTCATCAAAATGGAGTTAGGTGCATTCTCATCACTCTGTGGTGGCCCAGACAGACTTGGCCCACTCCTCTAATTCCTCTTTCCAGGCAATGATTCCAGAGGCTTCCACTCTGTTCTAATCTTCTCACCACCTATAAAATCAAGTGAGGAATCTGAATCTTGATATGCTCCATCCTATGACTTAGACTTTACCTTTAGCATGTTTGTTTGTTAGTTTAGGCTAGAGGAATTACAGATAGAACAAGTTCATTGCTTTCTTGGAATGAATCTATGCTCCTCTGGATTCTGGTTGGACCTCTCCCGTCCTTGATTTTCTTGTGTTATAGTTTGACAGAGGTTTGTCCTTTTAATCTATCAAGTTTGAGTTATCAGTTGTTTCATAATGGTTTTAATATCTTGGTGAGTCTTCTCTTTTTCTGGAACTTCTTGTGAAGAGTTGTTGCACAGATACAAGAACTTTCACCCTCCTGTTACCAGTGGAATCTGTAGTTAGTTCTCACCCAACATTTCCCTTCTCAACAGACTGGTAATGTCCCTTCTCAACAGACTGGTAAGTAGAGTTACTTCAATGGGTTCGGATAGTCCATACAAAGGTGTGCCATAATATAATAAACTTGACAATTACTAAGTTGTCAAGTTTGAAATGTGCCAAATTTAGTATTATCATACTGGCAACTTGATTATTATGTTACCACTTTTCAGACTGCTTATAGACTTGTCAGCATTACTTGCTCACACAGATAGTTTGTTTTGGGAGTTAAAGTCATGTAGCATTTCTGTGAATGCAACTCAAGGAGATGAAGATAACTACTATCAGCAATGCCTCGGAAAGGAATC